CCAGAGTAAAATGCCTTTTTTGGTCCCAACCTGGAATTTGATAACCAGCGTTCCATAGAGAGTCAGCAGTTGACTTTACTTGTTAATATGTGTAGTTGTCCTACATCAGTGGAACCAGGAAATGCATAGAATAAAATCTCCACCCTTCCCAAAGAACATCTTTAGGATGGGAATACATCCCTGGCATAGTCGTCAGGATAGAATCAGCCCCAAACTCCTCACCACCCCCAGTGAGATTGTGATAAGCAATTATAGGATGGTGTAAATCATGGATACTCCCACTATGAGGTCCAAGGTTTGGAAATATTGGACAAAAAGCATCAAAGGGCATGTAATTTTGCAGAGAACATGTATTTAACTCCTGATGTTTTTAATAAAGTTCTGATTATTGAGATATTCAAAAGGGAGCTTTCTCCTTTTTATAAATCCAAGAAGGACTACTTACTGAAGAATTTTTTTTAAGTATGAAGAGATGATAAAAGAGATAACAAGTAGAAGAAGAGAATGGGAGAAATAAAGTCAATGAGCTCTCCCATATGTCATGAAGCATATGGCCAGCACTGTGTTCATTGCAGTGCCACCTGGGGCTTATAAACTAATAAGTATAAGGATGAGATGCTTCAGTTCATGTATTAAAAGTTTTGATAATTCCTCTTGACTGTATTTTTAAAAGGCTCCTTATGCTATAATAGCATAACACTGTGGCTCATTTAGGAAATATTGTGTCATGCTGGTTTCGTTCAAGAAATGTCGCAGCCACTGGCCTGCAGTGACCGTGAATGCTGCAGCTGCTCATGATATGAGAGTAATACACACGGACTACTGAGTCCTGTGGAGGAACAGGAACAGCATGGCCACTCTTTCTAGTGGAGAGCGCCCCAAGCCACTGCCTGAGTAGGCTTTTTATTAGGTAGTATTGGGTAGGGGTATGGATACAGTTTGTGGATTATAGTCTTGCAGGGAAGATCAGACAAGTAGGTATCTTTCAAAGAGCTGAAAGGACTCACGCTGAGTTTGGAGTTTTATCACCTAAGAGCTACAAGGCTAGCTTCATTTCCTGCCCATGCCTTCATTTTCAAGAGCATCCTCAGCAAGCAGGTCTCACAGGATCTTGCATATCCTATGCCCCAGGTCTAATTACTCTGGAGGTCCACTGACTCTGGTCTGGACTGCACAGCCCCTGCTATTTCCACAAGCTTGAGTCGGACAGAGGAGACAAAGGCATCCAGGAGACTTGGATTTCTCACAGCCAGAACAAAGACTCAGGCTTTGTCAAAGCTGAGGGGGCAGGGGTGATGTTGGTCACCCCTTCACTTCCACAGCCCCCTGAGTCTCTTCTCTGAAGTCCTTCTCACGTGATCGTGTCTGTCTCAGATTCATTCTCCTCTGAGCATTGTTACCCGTCATTGATTATCCAACCATGCAATGGGAGCCAGCATAGAACAGGCAGTGTTCACGCCAGGGAAATAAGTTTTGTCTCCTTAGGTCTCCTTGTTTCAGAGGTCTCTCACTCAGTCTTAGCCATGGGTGGTTACAGCTTCCTGGGACCAGGCAGGGTGGACCCCAATAAAGAAAAGTCTAAAAATAGTGATTAAAAAGGACATCAGGACCTGATATCCAAGAAAATAGTTTATTTCGATTGAATGTATTAATTGAAAATAGAAAATAAGTTAGGAGATAATGATTATTTCCTAGAAAATATTTCAGCAAAGTGAGAAGATTAGCATCTGCATTAAAGTCACAAAGATCATTTCTTCAGCCATGACAGGCCCTTACAAATCTGGCAGCAAAGAGCATCAACCAAAATATATCATTTAAACAGGGCAAAAATATAAGAATAAATAAAAATGTTTATCTTTATGGATTATAAAGATATATAAAGTGAAACTAGGAGGTACCTGTGTCACCGCTCAGATAGTCCAGAAAGAACAGTTCTGATAGGACATTAAATAGGCAAGGGTTTCAGGAAACTGGAACTCTCTCTTATTTGCTGTTGAGCTTACAAATTGGTACAAGTATACATTAAAATTTTAAATGCAAATAATGTTGGTATAACAAGTCCACAGTTAGGAATTTATCTTATAGATTTACCCAAGTTGCAAATGACATAGGTAGCTTTGGATGGTGTGGCTCAGTGGACTGAGTGCCAGCCTGCAAACCAAAGGGTCACCAGTTTGATTCCCAGTCAGAACACATGACTGGGTTGTGAGCCAAGTCACCAGATGGCAACCACACATCAATGTGTGTTTCTCTTACTCTCTTTCTCCCTCTCTTCCCCTCTCCCTAAAAATAAATAAATAAAATCTTTAAAACAGACAATAACATATGTAGTGATATATCATTGCAAAATTTTTATAAATTCCAAAAGATTGGAAACAACCATAAATTCCCTCTGTGAGGTACTGATTAGGTAAAATCGAGATAGACTTACAGAGGAATATTCAACAGTTGCTAAAAGAAAGGAGAAGCTCTATTTGTACTAATGTAAAGAACTCTAAAAAATTTATCATAAATTTAAAAATGGTGCAGAATTATGCATAGTTGCCACCACTAAATTGTGACCGATAAATATGTGAATCCACTATGATCTTTCTGTAGAAAGTACAAAATAAACTTGTATATTAGACACGAGAGTCATGAACTTGCAGAAAATAAATAACCTTACATTGTGTACTCTGTGCCTGTTATATCTTATAGGAATTATTACCTATTCAAACAACAAATAAATATAATTATTAATATTAAAATTGAAATAATACATGGAAGGGAAAATTCCCATGACAGGATCAAAGTATTTACAGAAATACCATAAGTCAGCTCAATAGGAATAGTCTACTTATCAAAGCAGAAAACAGAAATTGCAAGATGTGCATCTTAACCTTGTCATCCTTTGGGCCTCTCAGTAAGGCCCTGAAATTGTAGTCTCAAATTTAGGTTCCAATATAATATCTACTGGGATGTCACCAGGAATGGTCTCCAGATTCCCACCCCACATTTATAAAGATGGTGAATTTGAAGGAAAAAAACTTAGGGTCAACTAAATATTTTAAGTTTTCAGCTCTGTGGTGCTTAAGACACTGTGCTTAGTTAGAATAAATTGCTTTTAATTTCAAACATTGTATGTATTCTTTTGACTTTGTATATTTGCCCATAGAACACAAACTTCCCTAAAACAGCCTGTACCCTTTATTTGCTGGCCTCTGTTCTCCTACCATGGCTTATTTCCTGACTTCCCGTGATTGGAAATGATGTCTTCCCTATGCTACCATTGTGCTATGTTATCCCTGCTGCCATAGTACATTTAGATCATTGCAAAAGTGAAATGACCCACTTACAGCCATCTCCACTTTACTGCCTCATAATCTCATCTACTTGGTGATCTTCATCATCATGGATTTAGCTCCCACGACACAGCCCACCCTGTAAACACCAGTTATTTAAAAATAGTGGTGAGTACATGCATGACCTGCCATCCAAAAGGGTGCCGGTTACCAAGTCCTTACTATATTAACTGCTTTCCATAGTCTCAAAAAAAAGATACAGCTTTAGAAACTTGAATAGATGGGACTCACTGAGGCAGAAAGGACAGTGCACAGCCATGTGAATCTGCCGCCCAGTTCTCTTTGAGGAGCTGGACAGTCCATGTGCTCAGGGTTCCTCAGGCTTCTCTCCCATGACAATCACTCATCAAGGAAGCTAGGTCCTTGTCTCACAATGCAGTTGTGACATTTAAAATAGTAAAGAAAAGAAGTAGCATTTTGCAGTCTCATTTGTGCCATAATTTTTCAATGTGTTTAAGGTGCTTTGATAAATGAATGGATACAAAAGCTGTGGTATGCATATACAACAGAATACTACTCAGCCATAAAAAGAATGAAATCTTACCATTTGCAACAGCATGAATGGACCTGGAGGGTATTATGCTAAGTGAAATAAATCAGTCAGAGAAAAACAAATATGATATGATTTCCCTTACATGTGGAATCTAAAGAACAAAATAATTGAGCAAAAAAAAAAAATTGAAACAGACTTTAAATTAAGTCTCTACAATCTGATTTTATACTTATCACTGTTATTATCAAAGGACCCATCTCACAGAAATATATGGACTGATATAGAATAGACACTCAATGCTATTTTTGTTCTGTAGTTCAGTACAATGGAGTGCAATTTTTAAAGTGAATTAAATTTTCGCTGGTATACCACTAAAATATATATGCCAGCATTCTGGCTCACACTGAAATTCAAATATGATGGGAGTAGTTGAACAGAAAGTAAACAAAGTGGTGAGACAAAATATTTATAGCATCTGTCAGCTTTTTAAAAATGTTGCTACATGGTTTTGGTCATTTTGAATATTCATTTATTAATTTCTATTTTTCTGTTTTTTTTATGTGAAGTAGATTCTCAAACTATATTCAATCATCAATCCCTTGCCCACCAACTGATCCACTCTCCTATAAGCAAGAAACAACTGTAAGTATATGCAACAAAATAATAATGAATTCATCTGGGCTATAAAATCAGGAAATTTATGTACACACATACTGGTATTTTTGTTGCTAATGAAAAAAAAATCACGTTGAATACAAAATACTCTTTGAAAAAGGAGGGAGAAGAACAAGTGAAAAATTTAAGAAAAAGATATTAATAATAATAATGAAACCTTTCCTCACAAAACAATGCCCGCTGTTCTTTGGCTCACATTCAGCCTGCTGCTGGGTATTCCTTGCGGGTTCAGGGAACAGCCAATGGAGGAGGGACCAACCTGGGATTCTGAAGGCAGGTGTGGAGCAACCACAACTGTCTTCCCACCTCACCTGCCTCAGTTGAAAAACAAAAATAAATAGAAAAGGGAGGGGGGCACCCAACGATTCACTTCTCAAAAAAGCACATGTCCTTTCCATCTGGGTTCTTATCAACCTGAGCCATAACTGCTTGCCTGTAAGATCTGGCACGTGTTCAGCTCCTAAAGAGAACAGTCAATACGCGGAGGAGCCAGACACTGGAGGAGCACGCGCAGAAAGAGCGAGGATAGCTGAGAACGTGTCCCCTGACTGCAGGTCCCAAGAAGGTAAGTTAGCTCCTAGACTTGGTTTTCCATAGCATGTTCTCATGTTCCTCAAACATCGCCAGTAACAACATGGGCACAAAGGCTCATCCCACCCGGGAAGAGCAGGGTGGGCACTGGCTGGCAGGGAGGCAGCAGGAGACTAGCACTGGGCCTGGGCTCCCAGCAGCTGAGCATCTCTGTTTGGATCAGAGGTCACCCTGCGAGGTGACCAACACAACAGTACCTTGTCACCAGGATGAGCTGCTCTTCCCACACTCACCCAGTGCTACAAAAACACCCCTGCATGGGAGGAGGAGGAATGCATCCTGCCTCAAATGTCAAAAGGGGCTAAAGTCCTCCCTGGCACTGACCTAGTAAATCCCACCAGCTTGCAGAGATGCTCCATGGAGTCCTCCCCGCTCCAGCTCTCTCCTCTCTCCTCAGACTGTCTCTGCTTCCCGTTCCCCTCTACCCTTTGGCCCTACCCCACCTCCAACTGTTGGAGAAACTGAGGGAAAAGATGGTTCTTGATTTACAGACAATTCAAATCCTGAAAGATCCACTCTGATTATTTTTGTATAACAATATTTAATATTCCAAAGGCAGTACAAAACTGTGTTATGTAGAATAATTCGATCTCATGCTCACTGATCAAGTGTTAAACATAACTATAAGACTGAATAGTGTTTGTTTACCATGCCTTGTTTCTAATGTGTGGTCCATGTGAGGAACCGTGTCAGAGTGCCCTGTGATACTTGCTGACAAGCCAGGGCTTGGGGCAGTTCTCATCGTCACTTCAGATGACGGACTCTCCTGAAGAGTAAACTTTGGAAACCAATTGCATACAGCAGCACTATTTCATTTTACTTGTCTGTTTGAAGTTAATAGCTTCTGGGTTGGACATTCTAGTATATTTATATTTTTTAAAAGTTTTGTTAATGCATCTATTCCTACCCAAAATTTTGAATGTTTGGTCCAACAAATAAGCTCTGCAATTCCACCTGATCATTATACAGCAATAAAAGACTCATGTTTTACTCCCCAATTCTGCTCCCAGCCACCTAGAGAAAAGTATAGAAATAGTAAAAAGGATGTCTGTTAAGCAAATTCATGTTATTTTCTGACGAGATTTTAGACACCTTATGATTTCTTGGCAATTTGTAGTTCACCGAAGAATATATCAACACATTTGAATGTATTGCTTAACTTGCTCATTGTTAAAACACCACACTAATTCCAGAAAATTTCTTAATTTATTGAAACCCTGTGTGGTGCATACCAGCCTGTAAAAGAAAGAATCAGGCAGGAATCCTCACTTTATCTCTAGCACTGATGAGAAAATGGAGGCCCACACAGGTAGGTAGGGTCCCTTTTCCAGGTCTCACAGACAGTAAGTGATTTGAACCCTGGGGTTTGAACCCAGCAGCCACTCCAGCATCTGTGCTCTGACACCCAGGACTGCCCTGGGCTCCCCAACAACAGGACTTACCCTCCCTCACTGTGCCCGCTCCCAGCTGTACTGCTGGTCCTGTCCTGCCTGCTAATCCCCCTGATGGGGTGTGTCCCCCCACCTACTTGTACTGGGGAGATAGGTGTCACTGTTTCAGTCCAAAGCCAATCCTTCACTTTCATTTAGAACCTACGCTCCCTGCTCTCTTAGATACTCAGTTTTTCATCAATACTTACATAGGTTTCAGTATGTAGCTCATTATTTTAGCAGCATTATAAATTTTATCATTTATTTAATCTTCTTAATGACCCTAATGATCAATTCATTGTTATTTTTATTGTTATTTTTAGTGTTGCCATTTTATGGAAGAACAAACGAGGCACAGAGAAGTTGATCTTTCTAATGGTCACTCAGCTAGGAAAGTATGGGAACGCATGAAAGTTGGTTAGAATTGTCTTTGAGAAAATGAAGGGATAGTCAAAGCATTTCACTGCTCTCTGTCCCTTGATTTCATGAAATACCCACTGTGATGGAAACATTCAAGCAGGGCCTCACCCAGCTGTGGGGCTCTGGCAGATCTGGGCTCACCCTGAAACACCCTGGCTACTGCCTCTCTTTCCTGTCAGCGTATAAAAAAGAAAGGACCTTTTATTATAGTCAAATACATGAATTTTTACCCTCATAACTTTAAGTCCTATAAGATCTGTCCCATGGTGTTTTGAGAGCAAGTCACATTCTTCATCTCTTCTTCTCAGAGTCTCCCCTCCTCCAGCTGCTCCACTCCCACAATTCGCTAATTCTGTCCTGAGCAAGGTTGCAGGTCACATTTATGTCTCTACCCCTGAGAGCCCTCCCTGACCACCCTCTATACAATTCGGCCCCACACTCCCCGTCATAGTCCCTGCTTATCTACTGGGGAGCACTTCCCATCATCTAATACACATACAACATGCATGTCACTTATTTGCTTTATCCAGCATCTGTCTTCTCCTGCTAGAATAGAGCTCTTTCAGACAGGAATTTGTATCCATTTTGTTCACCACTTGATACAGAGCAACTAGAACAGTGCCTGGTACATGTAGGTTCAGAAAATATATGCAGTTAATGAGAAACCAAATCATTCTGGAACTCCAGGTATTTTCTCTGGTCCCTCCTTGTCTCTTGCGTGTCCTGTTCTGCCCATACTCACCCCTAATGTGTTAGCGTTCTCAAGGTGCCATCATCAGTGCTCTGTTTCTTTTACCCATTAGGTAAGCAAGGTTGTTTGTCACTGGACAAGGACGGGGCCCAGAGTGGGTCTTTCTCAGGCCAGGCTGTGATGCATGGGTTCTGACTTCGAGCAGAAAAGATTTCACAACCTGAGTCCAGGTGATTTTGAGAGAACATTTATTAAAGCTGGTGACAGTAAAACAAAGGAAGGACTTAGGGTAGAAGAAGCAATAGGAAGAGATTAGGCAGTGCTCTGCTTTCACTCCCTAGAAACGTTATTGGAAGGAAGTGAGCCGAGGTGGGGCTGCTGTTAGTTCACTGGGAAGTGGGAGAAAGGGGGGAACTTGGAGACAGGATCATGAGGAAAGGTCAGGACAAGGAGCCCACTGCTCCCCTGATTGTAAGTCTCTCGGGACCCTTGGAGTTTAGGAAGAAGGCACTAAAAAGTTCATGTCCTAGAAAGGGCGTGGGCTTGCTCTAGAGTGAGCCCACATTGGTATCCATTGTCTTGAAGGTTATTCCTCACTTTTGTGGGCAAGAATCTTAAAGGGGGCTTTCAGCAGAATAGTCAACAGCTTTCCAGGTGTGTTTTTAATATACTGATGCTTCCAAATGAGCATATAGGGAAGTTTTGGATTACTCTATGATCTGCTCTACTGTTTTACTTTTATCTTGGGTCTGTCTGGCTTAATTGAGATTTTGTTATTTGTTCCTGGACTTCATCTGTTTGGGCATCCAGCTAGAACAAATGGCATTAACTGGTTCTCTGTTCTCTATTTCCCCAACCAGGGTGATTTAAGCTATGTGTCTGTGGTTAGGGAGGAGAAATGTGAACCATTTGCTCTCAAGTGTCCTTGGTTAGAGAAGATAAGGTCTTTCAATTCAATAGCTGACTATAAGTTGTTCAAACTGTTTGGCCTTATTTAATTTTCTTGTCTTAGTTTCCAAATTCCATTTGTGCAGGAATTTTTCTACCTTCTTACTATCCTGCCTCAGTTTGAGGGTTGATTTATGGATTAATTTGATAATGTACATAAAGTATCTGCACCAGGCCTTGACACACTAGGCTAAAACCTTATCTTTTAGGAACATACAAAATGTAGGAAGCTGACATATAAGCTCCAGAAGCAGAAAGTTGATAATGCAAATGACTTCTTTAACCATTAGATAGGATGTTGGGACCTTACATTTTACTGAGTTCTTCCTCTGGGTTGTAGCTTACCATGGCATCTGGATCCATGACAATGAACCCCATCTGCCTGGTAGAAAACCAAAAAAATCAACTGAGAATAAATCCAAAAGCACTGGAGATTCTTGACAAGATCTCTCAGCCTGTGGTGGTGGTGGCCATCGCAGGGCCGCACTGGACAGGAAAATCCTACCTAATGAACTGCCTGGCAGGGACAAGCCCCGGGTGAGTGTTGCTTTGGGTCATTTGTTTGGAAACAGTGATAACACAGGCTGATCATGCCTCCTTCATAGTCATCTTAAGGAAGAACCTAACTCCTCCCATTGAAGAAAAATTTAAATTTTCACTGAAAAATGTATAACTTTAACTCCATCTGCCCATAAAAATCTCACTCATTTGTTGAGGAATTAAGAGATCCCCAAACTTATCAAAGATCCATCCTATAAGTCATCTCTGGGGTAGCTCAGTTCCAGAAATTATTCTTTTCTTTTCTTCCACATCACTTCAGCCCTAAACTATAGGGAAATTTCAGTAACACCCAAATATTGTTCAATATTTACTGTTTTTTAAAAGGGGTAGAAAGCAGCATAAACAGCAGTATATTCTATATACTTTATATCTCAATGGGGATACCACCTAATTATTTGTTTTATTTCATAGCAAAATTTTTGTGAATTATTATACCTCTCTCTTTTTCTCCCTCTTTCTCCCTCCCCATTCTTTTTTAATATGTGAACTATAACACATGTAGAAAAGTACATACCACACACATATACAATAAGATTAATAAATGTAAAATGAACATCTGTGTAATCACTGTCAAGATCAAGAAGTAAAAACATCATCAACACCCAAAAGCCCAAGTCATGCCCTCTCATACCTCACTGCAGTTCACCAATGTTTTGACTTTCATGGTTCTCTCTCTCGCGCTCTCTGTTTCTCTCTCTTTATACCTCTCTCCCTTTCCTTCTTTCTTCCTCTTTTCTTTTTGCTTCTTAATATCTCTTTGATTTCTAACAAAAAATTTGTTTTTGTATTTCTTTTAGAGGAATTCTTAACCACCATTCAGGGTAGGACATTTTTCCTTGCATTGCCTGAATTAATTATAGAGGGGTTTTTTTTTGGGAGGGGGTGTTTTTTGGGGTTGTTTTAGTGATTAAAGGTTGAGAACTCAGAGAGCTATTAGTCAAGTGGTTTCAACAGTGTCTTTTTTTCTTCTGCTTAAGATAACATCAGGTGGGAACCAGATGGCTTCCCATTGGTGAGGAAGTTTCTACCCTCAAAATATGTTGACATCCAAATGGTGGTTTTACCACCCCACTCATATCACAGAAAGAATAAAAAGAAAGAGATTTGCATCCAGTCAAGTTCCATGAGCATGACCAGGTGCCTACTCTCTCTCTCTTTGTTGATGACTAGCTTTATGTGTTATTTACCTCTCATAACAGAGAGCAATGACCTCCAAATACACATTGTCTTTCCTCACTGGGGGAATAGGAACTTCAAATTACTTTGTACTAGTCAGAAAGCAAACAAACAATATCACATGTAAAAGAATGCTGACCATATCAGGCTTTATATCCTCTTTATGGACTACACCCTGAATGTGGAAATTGAATGGCCTGAGCCATGATGAATCAACCTCTCCTAGATATTTCATTATGTTAATTTCTATTCTTCATTGAGGGAAACATTGACATATGGCAGGTGGTCAAAATCCTGGACTGTAGAACAAGATACATCATTAGCAGGTTCCTGGGCATATATCTCACATCTGCTCCCACTGTGTGTTAAATTTTAGGTTTCTGGAAAGAGGATCTAGAAAATCTCACAGGTCTTTTCTGCTTTCTCTTCCATTTTATCCCCACCTGAGGCAGTGAGCAAAGAACTCATTACTTGTTTAAAAAGAGAAAAAGATTTCTAGTCAAGATGGTGGCATAGGTGTACATGACTCATCTCCTCATACAACCACATCAAAATTACAACTAATTTATAGAACAACCATCATTCAGAACCAGCAAAAATCAAGTTGAATGGGAGTATGAAAACTACAGAATTAAAGAAACCACATCCATCTAGACTGGTAGGAGAGGAATAGACAAGGAATAGGCTGGTCCCACATCCACATGTGGCAGATAAAAGTTCAGAAGGTATATCTCAGGAACTAGGAGTCCCAGCCCCATACCAGGCCCCCAGGTCCAGGCTTCCAGTGCAGGAAGATAAGTCCCCATAAGTTCTGGCTGCAAAAACCTGCAGGAACTGAATTGATGAAAGAAACCACTGGAGCTCCAAGCAGTTCCTCTTAAAGAACTTTCACATGAACTTACTCAAACTCACTCCCTTTGTGATCCGTCACTGGCTAGCAACTTGGAAGGCACCACTGGCCTACAGGGAGAAACTGACACATCTGGCATCAAGGTGAGATCTGGGAGACAGCTTTCTCCCATACAGAAAGGCAGCTAGAGCCACAGAGCCAGCAGGTGGGTGCCATATCAGAGTCTCTATCAACCTAGCTAACACTGCCTCACCCTGGAGATTCCCTGAGGTTCATGCTTCACAAATTCCTAAATCCTTTCAAACAAACAGCAGCTGGTCTCAGTGAACTCCCAGGCCCCATATCACTTGCTAAATAGCCCCAGGCACAAGACTAAGAGTAGCCAGCCCAGATTCACAGCTTGGCTTCACCTGGAAGTCTCCAAGTTCAGCACAAATATCAGGCATCTCAGATAGCTCTAAAGTTCAGGAAGGGTGGTCCTGGGAAAAACATCGGTGGGGACTGACCTTGGCCTGTACCAACCAGGAAAGCCCAGAGCCTGCACACCCAGTGGACAGCTACAGACCACACTGGAGCAACACCACCCTGCCCCTACACAGCTGATCTTCCATGGAGGGTGGCAGTTGGTGGTCAATGCTCAAAGCCACGCCTTGCAACTGGCTGGCCTGGGTAAATCCCTCCTATTGACCTGCTAAGAGCTACCAATGCTCATCCAAGGCAAGAGGAAGGTGTACTGAGCCCATGCAAAGGTCACACTTCAAGTGCCCAGCTTGGGTGATAGGGGAGGCTGTGCCCCTGGTCCATATGGGACACCTACTGTATGTATTAGGCCACAATACCAAGACATGGAGTCCTAGCAGTTCTACCTAATACATGGAAACAAACTCAGGGAGGCTGCCAAAATGAGGAAATAAAGAAACATGGCCCAAAAGAAAGAACAGATCAAAACTCTACAAAAAGAACTAAACAAAATGAAGGTAAGCAACCTATCAGATGCAGTTTGAAACACTGGTTATAAGGATGCTCAAGGAACTTAGTGAGGACCTCAACAACATAAAAAAGATACAGTCAGAAATAAAGGATACACTAATTAAAATGAAGAACAATTTACAGGGAAATGACAGTAGAATGAATGAAGCAAAAAATCAAATCAATGATTTGGAACTTATAGAAGCAAAAAACAGCCAATTAGTACAACAAGAAGAAAAATGAATAAAAAAAAGTGAAGATCATATAAGCAGCCTCTGGGATGACTTCAAGTATTCCAACATTTGCATCATAACGGTGTCAGAAGGAGAAGAGAAAGAGCAAGAAACTGGAAATCTGTTTGAAAAGAATAATGAAAGAAAATTTCCTTAATTTGGTGAAGGAAAGAGATATGCAAGTCCAAGAAGCACAAAGAGTCCCAAATAAGGTGGATGCAAAGAGGCCCACTCCAAGAAACATCATAATTAAAATACCAAAGGTTAAAGATAAAGAGAGAATCTTAAAGGCAACAAGAGAAAAGAAGTTAGTTACTTACAGGGGAGTTCCATAAGACTGTCAGCTGATTTCTCAAAAGAAATTTTGCAGGCCAGAAGGGATTGGTAGGAAATATTCAAAGTCATGAAAAGCAGGGACCTACAGCCAAGATTCCTCTACTCAGCAAAGCTGTCATTTAGAATTGAATGGCAGATAAAGAGCTTCCCAGACAAGAAAAAACTAAAAGAATTCATCATCACCAAACCATTATTATATGAAATGTTAAAGGGACATATTTCAGAAGAAGAAGAAGACCAAAACTGTGAACAATAAAATGGCAGTAAATACATACCTATCAATAGCTGATTAAAAAAAAACTAAGCAAAGAAGAACAGAGATACTATCATGGATATGGAGAGCATTTTGATGGTGGCCATATGGGAGGGGGGTGTGGGGGAATAGGTGAAGAGGTGAGGGAATTAAGAGCTACAAGTAGGGACTTATAGAATAGCCATGGGATGTAAAGTACAGTATAGGAAATCGAGTAGCCAAAGAACTTACACACATGACCCATGTACATGAACAGTAGTGTGAGGTGGGCCTGAGGGAGAGAAGGATGCTGGGTGGAAGGGGTCAAGGGGGGGAAATTGGGACAACTGTAATAGCATAATCAATAAACTATAATTAGAAAAAGAAAAAATGAGGAACACACAAGAATGAAGGGGAGAAAAAAATTCCAACAAAAGCAGCTGTATCATATAGGTCCTGGCAGGACACAGATGACCCACACAGAGCCTGGACTATCTGCTGCTACTGTATATTACTCCCTCCTCTTCTTTTGCAGATTTCCCTCTAAGGTTCATGATGAAGTCTGAAACTAAGGGCATCTGGATGTGGTGTGTACCCCACTCCTCAAAGCCGAACCACACTCTGGTACTTCTGGACACAGAGGGCTTGGGCAATGTGGAAAAGGTGAGACAGAGAACCTTCTTTCTTCTTGGCAACCCACTTACATTTAAATTAACTACTTCAGTTCAAATTTTATGACAAATTCCTCTAAAATACAAATTTAATTATGAATAATGAGGCTAACTTCTGTTTCATTGAATTTAATTTCTTGGTAAACTCAACACTTTGATTAGGAATAGATCTTTTTATTTTTACACAGGTGCAAATAATGCATATCAAATACCTATTAGGCAGCTGCAGTTAGGGATTTGTGTTAAGCACTGCAGATATGACAGTGAATGAAGTGAAGACCCACAGCCTAGTTGAGCAGACAGATAATATGCTGCATTATCAGAACAGGGTACCATGGATACAAAAATTGGGAATCTAATCCAGTCATTCTTAAAGGAAGCTGTAACCAATGGGATATACTAGTTAAGGTATGTGAGATTAGTGTGGTTGGAGGCAGGACCCATGAAAATAGGTTGCAGTAAATAATCTACTTAAATAATCTACAGAAACACTTCAGCTACACCAGGAATATTTATTCTTTGAAGATGAATTCTGCACTGACTTGTATAAAAACATGAGTTAGATCTACCAAAAGCACTATTAGTATAGTATAATAAACTATTTTGTATTTATAGGAATCCTTGCAATTCAATCTTTTTCATTATTTATATTAGTGTGCATCTAAGTTGAAAGTAGCACCAGTGAATCTTTGGCTTTCATTGCTGCAAAAAAATTTCAATTTTTTTTAAAATAGTGAGGGAATAAATTTAGAAAAATCTGAGTGTAAAAAATTCTCAGTAATCAGCTCAACATAAACCCATGATGGTCTACTGATGTCTAATAGATTGTAGTTTCCATAAACCCTTTTTTTTACATAATTACATTCATCAAGGAAACGAGACATACCAAATAGAACTGCTAGAAGCAGAACTACTTGCTAACCTTACAACTCTAGTGTATTTCTGTAGTATCTAACTCTATTACAGAGTCACTCATGACTTGCCCTGAATCTTGTTTTTAGCTTCTTCATCTACTCCCACTAACCACACACATAACTGCTACTTCAATCAAATAAAATAATCTGTAATGCCTTTAAATGGCCACACTTCTGACAATTCTGATTGGCTTCTATTGGTCCTACCACCTGCATGATCTCTTTCTCTCCACAGTTCCACATTCTGTCACTTCTTTAAAGCCCAGCTGTTTTCAACCTAATGGGATTGTACTGCATTGAGACATAATCAGTTCTTGCCCTGAAATCACAGAGTACTTTTCTGGATTTTGCATCCCCCTTTGTCTTTTATGGTATAATGCTGGGTTTCACTCCTGGCAGAGTTTAGCATCTTGGATGCATTTACATGCTGCCTTACATGCTCCAGTGAGTCATCTCTCAAGGTCTGGGACTTCCCTATGGAACTGTGTATTTACAGAAGCAAATGCAGTAGCTGGCACTTTTTAGATGCACAGTGAATAGTTTGATGAATTTAATGGAATAGATTTTTGTCTCCAATAAGCCTGTGGTTGAAGCCTGTGGTTGCAAAGATATCATTGCCCAAAGCAAGCAATATTTACTGTAACATAATCAGTAATTAGTTTAGAAGAAAGGGATTATAATAGGGGAGGGAGACAGTCCAGACTTCTAAAGACATTTATAATGTCTCTTTCTTGATGGTTAGATGAATGTGTGCTTTATGATGTGTTAATTTATATATTTATGTTTCATATGCCTTTCCATATATGCTAAGATTCTAGTGAAAACATTAAAAAACAAAAATCAAGAAAAAAAGAGAGATCATTGCCCAATTATTATAGCATACTTCTATGTTTTAGGCACTGTATTAAGTATTTGACACATTTTTTTTGCGGTGTTGTTTACTTCTGTTAATAGCTAAGTAAACTCAGGCCACAAGGGGAGTCAATATAAATACCCAAAATGAGGCTTGAATTCAGCATTGTCTTCACAGTCATTGTTATTCACCCTACTATTCAGTCATAGTAGAGCTGACATAGTGCACAAACAACTGAATGAGTGGATGAAGAGTAGACACTTAACTCACTTCTGGTATTCATACACCTCATCTTGCACTCTCAAGTTAATAATGATGGGCAATGGCTGCTGAGTGGAATAGAGATAACTGCTTCCCACACCAGGAAAGTCTCCATGCCACCCCCTTCCCACTGGCTATGAGAAGGACAGCTCTGTTGCAGCCAGATTTCAGCCCATGAAGGAGGAATTTGATAAAATTAGATGAGGAAGACTATAGAAGGGGTTGTGATTACACACGAGCACTGGCTTCCCCATATGTTACTGCTGCAGCTGGTAACAACTTTCTTCAAACTACCTGGTGGTGAACTGAACCTCAGAGAAGATGAAGTTGAAGGACTGAAATGCTTAATAACAGAGATACTAGGTGGTCAGATGGAGTCCCGAAAGACTGGGTCATGGATGGCCACATTGGTACCTGGCTGAGAACAAATTTTGAGCCTCCTCAGTATCCATAAATGCCTGAACATATTAGCAAACCTAAGGAACATAAGTTGTTTTGGGTTCAAATTCAAGACAAAGCCTTGTATACAATCAGTCCCTAAAAATTACAAGCTGGAAACCTCACCCTTGTTTGTATTGCATGACAATGCGCCAGGACAGGGACACTTCATGTCTAGACTCCCTCAGCTTTTGAGCAGGTTCAGTTTTATCTACGACTGAATTCCCATCCCCTGAAGAAGTCAAAGCAGCTATCTCTGTGAGCACAGCTCTACATTGTGAATGACAAACAGGGTAGAACAGCTTGTTTTTGGTTTCATCTCTTTCCCAGTCCCTAAATGGCCACCTGCTCTCTATTGTTTAAGAGTAAAGTTAACATGAAGGACTAGATAGTGGTGTAAACAAATGTGATAATGTTCAATTTCACATTTGTTTCTTCTCATATGTTTTTGTAAAACATTAAAGAAAGTAAATAAAAAAGTAGACTTCCTTCTATTTATATTTTATTTTAAAGTTCACATTAAACTTGTAAAATTCTTACATTTGAGGATCATTTTCTTCTCTTCCCCAGGCTGGTTTAGAGACAATGGCAGGTTCAGGTCAGTTGAGTTTATGGGACCCTGGCTCTGGTACCATTCTTGGGGGTTACACTCCAGCACTGTGTATGTTCTAGATCTTTGTGATGAGGATTTCTATCACTTTGGGAACCTCCTACAGATTTGCTTGAACAAAGCCAGGGTTCAACTCCTTCACCAAATTTTACCCTCTGGTGAGATGTATTACAGCCAAACCCCCAGTGTATTTCTAATTGGCACATTTTATCCTGGTAGAGCCAGATGTCAGTTTATAAGCAACAGACCTTAAATATATCGGAATTCACTAGAAAATTGATTAGGTTAGGGGAAATCATGGGAAAGGGTAGGAAAAGAGACTAATCTAAAGCTCATTTAGAGTTTTTTCTTCACATAATGGGTGTATTAATTATTTGTGCTATTCTGAAATTAGGTCTTAGTTAGTCTTAGGGGCATGGTAAAATGGTGAACTGTGGCTCTGGCCTGCATTGTTTGGTTGGTTGGAGTGTTCTCTGTTGCTGGTTCAATTTCTGGTCACCGTACATGCCCAGGTTGCGGTTTGATCCTAGGTTTCCAGCTCCATCCCGGATTGGAGTGCATGTAGGAGGCAGCCAATCACTGGTCTCTCTTCCATAGATGTTTCTCTCTCCCTTCCCTGCAACCTTGAATGAGAATAAAATAAATCTTTACAAAAAATAGTGATCTATGAAGGAAGTTTCTAAAAATGGGTCTCTTAGGTTATGAACTCTTGGGTTACAAAGCTAGGTTTTTTTAAATTAACTATAAGTTATACTCCCAGAGATGAAAATCCAATTGTAGCAAGTGACACAAAGTTTCTTCAAAAATGTATTTCAATAATCTGAAATCTAAGGACAGGATAGGAGATACATTTTGTCAGCCTAATAGAAAAATAGGAAATCAAAAAAACTTTTTAAAATACTGCTGATTTATGTTCAAATTTGGGAAACTGAAAAAAAAGAATCTTAGCGCACAGGTGTTTGCTGGCTGTGTCATCACTTAATGGTCACAGTACGCTGTGAGTGCCTTATTAAGGACTTGCTGTCTGCAGGCTGAATGTAAAGGAACTCTTGCAAGGTACAGCTCTTTAGAGAAAAGAGATTGGTGTGGTTAAGTTTTTAATAGATAGATAGACATGGACTTTCGATTAGCTCTTACATCTTTATAGTACTGATCACAGGGCTAATGCCCTGAGCATTGGGTGATCTGAAAGTTATCATGCATTTTCCCCTCTTTAGACTTGAGGAAAACAGATCAAGAGAGCCTGAACAACTGTATTCATAAACACTCAAGTTTAGTTAAGGTCCTGTCACACCTTCACATGGTGAGGAATCAGGTAGTGACAGTAACCATGCCTGTGCTCAAGTAGGTGAGCACATGTCCCCAGGATCAAACATCACCAGCGATTTCCTTTGAAAAGGACACTGGTTCTGTGAATAGTCATTTTTACCTCAAGGCTCACAGTCCTGCTCTCTGGTTTACAGTAGCATATCTCTAATTTACTGTGATTTTATTGGTGAGCTCACTGATTATCTCAGTCTAAAAGATTGGAGAAGGCAGAGATGGAGATGGCTTGATCCAGCCCACCTTCCAGGATTGCTTCTGGCAGCAGTGAAAAGCTACAGTGACCACGTTTCAAGCATGTTAGCTCTAGCCATTTGGGGAGGGTGGAAAGAGGTGGACGTTTTCCCAGTGTGAGTTATAAAGTGCTGTCAGCAAAGGAGTGCTACCGTTGAAGAGTGACCTGATTCAAGGCCACTCGTGTCCTGAGTAACTTAAGCTCTGACCTAGACATGCCTTCTTGATCTGTCCTTCCCATTAAAATTAGTATCGAGTCAGTCATCCCTACACTGTGGACTAGGTGAGGAAAACCTTTGATTTAAGCTGGCTGGGTTACTAACCTTGGAATGTGAGAGATATAATTCATAATGTAAAATTCATAATACACAAACCCAACTTTTAAAATTGTACTTGAACCAGTCACTTGTAGCTGCATCTTGTTGTGGTTTCTTGAAGCAAAGACTAGATCTAAGGAAATTCAAATCAGATGTATTCCTACAGCATTAAAACTGGGTACAAAGGCATTCTTAACACCAGATCCTTTGAGAAAAAGTGTTTATCACAGTTCTTCAAGAACTAACAGTCTTTAATTGTGCATTCCAGTTCTCTACATACTAAATATTCAATACTTTTCAAATGAGATCTTAACTGAATTTTTTTTGACTGCCTTCTATATTCCAGGTTTGCTTATAAATGAGAGCACCCTGCAGTCTTGGATAACTTCAATATTTTCCATGTTATTTTCCCAAAGTAACCCAAGTAGTGCATATTGTATATAAAACTATTGAATGGCACTGGAGAGTATTTAGTAGATTGAGGAAAAAATGAAAAAAGTTCTACTCAAATATTTTCCATCAAATTTAGCATTGACATCCCTTTGAAGACAAGGGAAAGTTATTTTTTTCCTAAGTGATGAAGACTTGTGATTTTTTTAATTCTTTTTTTTTTAGATTTTATTTTTTTAGAGAGGGGAAGGAAGGGAGAAACACAGAGAAACATCAATGTGTGGCTGCCTCTCGTGTGGCCCCCACTGGGGACCTGGCCCGCAACCCAGGCATGTGCCTTGACTGGGAATCGAACCTGCGACCCTTTGGTTTGCAGCCCACGCTCAATCCACTAAGCTACGCCAACCAGGGCAAGACTTGTGATTTTTTAAAAAGAAGATAATACTTAAAATGGCACTATAATGATTCTGTCTGTATATAAATCTGTACTTTTCACAGCAAATCGGATTGTTATCATCATCTTACCTTGTGATAGCATGTGTGGTTCAGTTGTTACTTTGGATATTTACTGGTTTCATTAAGTTAGCATTGTATTTAGATAAAACAGCCAAATTAGCCAGTCTCTTTTTTTCCTTCCATACCTGATTAGAAGTGAAAGGTAGAGTCTCCCTACATTCAGCACACCAGCAAGCAGTCAATTAACAGCTCCTTTTCTTACAGAGCTCCTACTCTTTGCAACAGCATGGATGGAGCTGGAAAGCATTATGCTGAGTGAAATAAGCCAGGTGGTGAAAGACAAATACCACATGATCTCATCTTTAACTGAAACCTAATCAACAAATGAACAAACAAGCAAAATATAACCAAAGACAATGAAATTGAGAACAGGCTGACAGTGACCAGAGGGGAGAGGGGAGAGGGGAGAGGGGAGGGGATAATTGGGGGAAAGGGTGAAGGGTTTGCAGAAGCAATTATAGAGGACACATGGCCAATAACAAGGCAGGGGGTGGAAACAGGGGAGGGAGGAGCAGAGTTCTTGGGTGGTTGGGGAGGTGTGGGGGGAAAAGGCAGAAAACTGTACTTGGACAACAATTTTTTAAAAAGTACCAAATGATAGAATAAAATAAAAATAAAACAATATTTTAAAAAATTCCCTGTCTTAAATGATGTGCCTCTTATTGTGTCAGGTTTTTAAGAGTTTGTGTTTTAAGAACCTTCTCAGTCACTTGAGATGGAATGATTAGAGTAGCTTTTCCACATTGGAGTTCCTCAAACATAATGTTTTTCCTCATTCACTGGATTTGGGGCATATGTGCCCATCACAGAGACTGTTTCAGAGAGGGTGCAGTTTTGTACATCACATGGCCAGAAAAGGCTCAGTGGTTTCTGACTAAAACACAAGTCAGCTTCTGCAGCATAGAGTTTCATTTGCTATTATCACTCCACTTGTTGTATATCACTTATTATACAGGACTCACTTCACTTTTCTTTTGTGTTTAAATGTGTGATGAGACACTAATACTGTAAAATGACCTGAGCCATAAAACACATTTGAATATTAACTCATATTTATCAAGCTTGTTTTTGTGAAAAAAAATAGACTAACAATTAAGTAAGTCCAAATCAAGCCAGTTTAGGTATAATTTGTATTTTAGTGATGGATTATATTGTAAGATGAAAGACAAATTGGGAAAATGTATCTGTTGAGAGAAAGATCAGTGCATTTATGAACTTAAATTTTTGGTCACTGTGTTCATATCTGAGAATTCAGGAACCACTTATAGTTTGGCTTTGAAAAATTTTCTCATATTAAGTTTATAGTAAATATAGAAAAAACTGACAGTTTCATTATATTTTTGAAATCATTTTAAATTTTCAATTACAGTTGACATACATTATCATATTAGTTTCTGGTGTACCCCCAGTGAGTAGATATTACATAATGAAGTAATAATCATGATAAACCTCACACTCATCAGACAGCATGTATGGTGTCTGTATTATTAGAATATTAGAATATTATTAGAATATAGAATATTATTAACTATATTTTATTTTTAATATTTTACTTTTTATTTTTAGACATGGGGGAGGGAGAGAGAGAGGGAGAGAAACATCAATGTGTGATTGCCTCTCGTGTGCCCCCTACTGGGGACCTGGCCCACAACACAGGCATGTGCCCTAACTGGGAATCGAACCAGGGACCCTTTGGTTTGCAGGTCGGTGCTCAATCCACTGAGCCACACCAGCCAGAGCAAAAATATCATTAACTATACTTTCTATGCCATACTTTACATCCCCATGGCTATTCTCTAACAATCAATTTGCACTTCTTAATCTCTTTACCTTTTTCACTTATCCTCCCAACTGCCCTCCCATCTGGCAACCGTTAAAATGTTCTCTGTATCTATGGCTCTGTTCCTGTTCTGCTTGTATTTGTAAAGTAAATGTTTAACTAAAATAGTACTGTTTTTTTTTATTGTATGGATTGTCATTTCAATTTAACACTAAAAAAATAAAAACAGTGGATACCTGAGATGCCTGCTGTTATGCACTTCCTAGGGTGACCCTAAGAATGACTCGTGGATCTTTGCCCTAGCCGTGCTTCTGAGCAGCGTGTTCGTCTACAACAGCATGGGCGCCATCAACCAGCAGGCCCTGGAGCAGCTGCAGTATCCTTCCAGGGACCACTCCACCATGCGTCCTGGGGTCTGTGGGAATGGGACTGAGACTGTTTTTGTTGTTCTTGTTTTTTCCTTGTGTCCATAATCATCATGGTTGAGGAGATAAGGGGTCACAGGGCTAATGGGAATATTTATAAAACTTGTTTCTGGGTGACATATGGAAGTGTTTGGGTGGAGCACCTCTCATTCCTTAGCTAGAGCCCAGTTACATGACTGAACTGGCACAGCAAATTAGGACAAAATCCTCTCCCAGCCCATGGTGAGGAAGATGACTCAGCTGAGTTCATGAGTTTCTTTCCCGATCTTGTTTGGGCTGTGCGTGATTTCACGCTGGAGCTAGAGATGGACGGACACCCCATGACTGCAGATGAGTACCTGCAGAATGCCTTGAAGCTGATTCCAGGTATCAGAGGGTGTCTGGGTGGTGAAAGTTCTAGTAGGATCAGCTGAGCTCTATGATTCAGCACTTAAGGTCCATCTTTATTTTCAATCACTTTGAAGCCCATCCTAATGATGATATGTGTATAATAGGTGGGTATGGTTTCACTTACTATTGTTATTGAAAAAACTCCAGTGACCAGAATTTAAGTTGGCTGAGAAAATGTAATATCAAATATTAGACCAAATGATTTTTAAAAATTGACATCATGAAAAAACTTAGAGAATTACAACCATTGCTAAAACTTCCTAAGGCTCAAAGGTTTATGTTACTATCAAGTTCAGAGCATCTCTATTTCTATTCAGAGAAAAATATCCATTAATATGGAAGATGGTAAACACAGACTCATGAAAATATCAAAGTATTTTTGAGATATATTTTATAGTCTATATTGCTAGCCTGCATAGTTATATCTTTCATATAAAGGGTATTTATACACTAAATGTTTTTTTAAAAATCATTGACATATCCTTCCAGTAAGACTGTCAAATCATTTATCTTTTTCATTACATTACTCTTTATTCTATATCTTAATACAATATGTTACCATGTTGATATAATAAATTTACTACAGATTACATTTAGCAGAGACAATAATAGGTGGTCCCTAAAAACATATTTATTTTTGTTTATTTAATCATTTATTTATTCATACAAGAATCATTTATTGAAGAGCTAATATATGCCCAGAATCCCTCTGTGTGACATTGTCACATTCAATATAATCTGGTATAAAGAACAGGTAAGAAAACCTCCAAGTGGCTTTAGGTTAACCTTATTTTTTGATGGTGTCTGATAAAAAAATTCTCTGAACATATTTATATTATGTTTATTTTTATCTGATTTTTAGAAATTTTTCTTTACTGTTCATTGTATTGTCTGTCCTTCACATGTTATTTTTTCCCAGAAATATCATAAATATCTTTATTTATACCAGGAAATAACTTACTCTTCCTCTAGACACATTTTATTTTTGACTTGAAGACTATAATGTCAAAAGTATTTCTGACAATTTTGGGGATTAATCTATGATTTTAAAAAAGCACCTAGTAAATAGTCAAGCCACAGAACACCATGGAAGAGCTAAGGAAAACAGTCATAAGATTCTTCACATGCGATTCTTCTTCTCCAGAAGTACTTCCTTTACTCTTGGCGCTGGACAAAAAGAAATAAATATTATTTCTGTGTTTGGGTAGATTAGCCTTAGGTTGCTTTGCATGATCAAACAAAAGGAGATTCACAGGCATCCGTGTTAAAGTGATGAAAAGATCCCTGGTAATGAGAGTCTTCAATCTCCTTGTCTGCAGACTATCTCATCAATGATTGCTCTTCTTCTTTTTACAGGTGAGGATCCCCAAATCCAGGAATCCAACTTGCTTAGAGAGTTTATCAGGAAGTTCTTTCCAAGGACGAATTGCCTTGTCCTTGACCAGCCTACAAATGACAAAAGATTATTACAGCATATGGAAGATGTGTCAGAAAACCAACTAGATTTGAATTTCCAGGAGCAATCTAAAAATTTCTGTCAACATATCTTCACACATGCAAAAACTAAGACGATAAGAGAGGAAATAATTATCACTGGAAATGGTGAGTCTTCTTTGTTATAGCATGTCTGTCTGCATTTCAATGTGTGTGACTGCACTGTGGGTTTGCTGGTAATTGTGTTTCCTTCTCTATGAGATGTGGACAAAGCAGAGATTTACACCCCACATAGGGATGCATATTTTTTCATTCAAGTTTCCCTATATGAAGGATGTAGCTCATGAAACTAATATACTAATGACATAAGCACAAGATACTGTTAATGATAGGAATCAGCATGATGATAAAACTATGAATTCAATGTGTCTTGGTAGCATACACTAGATATTTAGTGAATTTACACCATTTAGAAAATATACAACAAAACATGAGCCTTGAAGCTCATTAGAATTTCAGAAGCAAATTTAACCATAGCCTTATGTACAGGGCTCCATTCATGGATATGCCTCCTGGGCAGACACAGTGCCCTGTAGTGAGATGGGCCCATACTTGGTTTAATGCTTGTGTCACTAACCCGAAATTCTTGATGATTTTTTAAAGGGGCCCCACATTTATTTTGGAATAGTGCCCACAAATTTTCTGCTTTACTTACCTATACAATAAACAATTTTAAAAATTTCAATGGGAAAAGTATTCTAGGAAATCCTTGACCATAGTTGTTGAAATTATTATTTTAATATAATAATGTGATGAATTAATAAATCAATATAGGGTGAATAGAATATATAGTAATGTTATTATTAGAAAATGAACACATGAAAGAAAAAGGAAGATGAGTCAAGGATGAAGACAAAGAGAGACATGAGAAAAAGAAAGAGAAAACTGAAAACTTTATTTCATTAAAATCGTTGTGTTTTTTAAAAATGCTGCTCTCGAAAGCTTGTGAAACAATGAGTGAAAACTTTCTGTCCATTTTCTAAATATCACATGCCATTCAGGACTTGGGACAATGGCAAAGGCCTACATGGACACCATCAGTAGTGGAGCAGTGCCTTGTTTGGAGAATGCGGTGGCAACTCTGGCCCAAATCGAGATCTCAGCAGCCGTGCAGAAGGCAGTTGACCACTACAGTGAGCAGATGGCCCAGCAAATAAGGTTACCCACAGACACACTCCAGGAGCTACTGGATCTGCATGTGACCTGTGAGAGGGAAGCCATTAAGGTTTTTATGGAGAACTCCTTCAGGGATGATAACCAGGTGTTCCAGAAGAAGCTTATGGTAATATGTCTTAACCTCCACCCTCGCTGAAAACTGTCCTTCTAAAGTGATGCCTTGATTCCCTTTTTGTGACTCTGCAGTTCATGTGTTTCTCGTTGTAGAATGAGCATGGGTATTCTGAATGATGGGGCTCTACAGGCTACAGCCTATGCTTTTTCTGAAAGATTAGTTCTTTATGTTATATTATTGCAAAGTAAAACACTGTGTGCTTCACAGCTTAAAACACATGTTTATTAGCTCACAGTCCTTCCGGTCAGATTCAAGCACAAGATATGGATGCTCTTGTACCACAAGCTGAAAACAAGTTTCACAAGGGCTTGTATTATGAGTGGAGGTTCTAGGAAACTCCCTTCCATCTATAAGCCAGCAATGATGCATCTATCCTTGTATTGTTTCTGTGTTTGTGTGACTACCTCCTGTGCCATCAGCTGGATAAAACTGCTTTTAAAGGGCTCATGTAGTTAGGTGATAATGGCCACCTGGAACTTTCCATCCTAAAGTCATGTGAACTGTAAAACATACAGGATTAATATTCATCATGTTCACAGGCCCAAGGACTGTGTAGAGAATGGATACCAGGGGAGAGAACTAGAAAACATCATAGTTCTACTTACTGCAGACACCTTTACTGAGAGCTTCCCTTTCAGTCTGTCTTTGTCTGTCTAGTAGGTTACAAAAACCTCCCAGATCATATAGAAGAAAACCACCTAAATTAAAATGTATGAATACAACAAATTTTGTTTCTACATTTTTGCACAATCAAACTTCCATTGAAAAATTCACGATAGTTTAAAACTCTGTTCAGAGATCACTTAACTCATTATTGGGCATGTGACTTGTGATGTATCTTCTTTTACCCAAGTTTGCAGAGGAAAGTCACATTGAACTTTCCATTGTTCATTGCTGATTAATCCAACTACTGGTAAAGGAACCATGAGTAATACTGGATTGCATATTTGAAAGTTGCTAGAGAGCTAATATTACAACTCATCAAAAGAAAAATTAATATTTGTAACTATGTAAGGTAAGAGATGTTACTAGACTTGTGATCATTTCACAATATATACAAATATCAATTCATTAAGTTGTACACCTGAAACTATTACAATGTTATATTTCAATTACACATCAGTTGGGGAGGAAAACACACCATGGACTTCACGTATACCAGCCCCACCATTTCACAGGTGTTGAGCCTGAGCCAAAGCAAATAAGAAACTTTCACAGTGATGCCTGGTCACTCCAATCCCCAGACCACCCTGATGCCTTGCTGTCTGCAGGCTAAATGTAAAGGAACTCTTGCAAGGTACAGCTCTTTAAAGAAAAGAGATTAGTGTGGCTCGATGTGTTTACTCCTCTTAAATTTTTGGAATAATTTGAGAAGTGTAGGTATTAATTCTTCTTTGAATGTTGGCTATATTCACCTCTGAAGTTATCTGGTCCAGGGCTTTTGTTTGTTATGAATTTTTTTAATTACTGATTCAATTTCATTAGCAGTCATCAATCTGTTCATATTTTCTATTTCTTCCTGATTCAGCTTTGGAAGATTTCATGTTTCTGGAGATTTCTTCAAGATTGTCCAAAGTGTTAGCACATGATTATTTATAGTATTTGCTTATTATAACCTTGTGTATTTCTGTTGTGTCATTTCTCTGCTTTCATTTTTTTATTTTATTTGCTTGGGTCCTCTCTCTTTTTTTCTTAATGAGTCTGGTTAAAGTTTTATCAAATCTGTATATCTTTTCAAAGAATTTGCTCTTGATTTCACTAATCTTATCTATTGGCTTTTTAAACTCTCATTTATTTCCATTCTGATCTCTTTTATTTCCTCTCTTCCATGCACTTTGGGCACTGTTTGTTGTTCTTTTTCTAGTTTCTGTAGTGTGATGATAGTTCGCTTATTTTAGATTTTCTTGTTTCTTGAAGTATGCGTTTATTCCTATACATTTCCCTCTTAGAACTCCATTGTCTGTATTTCATAGATTTGGGGTAGCTGTGTTTTTATTTCCATTTGTCTCAAGTTATCTTTGCATTTGTTTTTCTTTGATCTAGCTGTTAACCTTTTCATTGTATAGTAACATGTTATTTGCCCTCTGCATATTTGTGCGTTTTCCAGTTTTCTTCTTGTAATTCACTTCTAATTTCATACCATTGTGATCACAGAAGGTGCTTGGAATGAATACAGTCTTCTTTAAGAGAAATGTCCTAAAAATGTCAATTTAGTCCACGTGGCCTAATGTGTTACTCAAGGCCACTGTTTCCTTGCTTATTTTCTTTCTGGAAATCTTCCTTTGATGTCAATGGCATGTTAAAGTCCTCTACTATAACTGTATACCGCCAATGTCTCCTTCTATGTCTATTAATACTTGCTTTATGCACTTGGATTCTCCTACTTTCAGTGCATAGATGTTTATGAGAGTTATATCCTCCTGCTTGATTGATCCTTTATCATTATTAAATGCTCTTCTTTCATTCTTGTTACAGCCTGTGTTTCAAAGTCTGTTTTGTCTGATATAAGTATTGTTGCTGCAGGTTTTTTCATCTTGTTTGCATGAAGTATCTTTTTCCATCCCTTTATTCTCACTTTGTATGTGTCTCTCTATCTGAAGTGGATCTCTTATAGGCAGGATATGAACAAGTGTTATGTTTTTATCCATTCACTGCCTTATGATTTTTTATTGGAACATTTAGTCTGTTTACATTTAAAGTAATTATTAATGAGCATATAGTTATTGCCATTTTATTGTTTATTGATTGTAGTCCTTTTCTGTTCCTTTCTTATTCCCTTGCCCTCTCCCTTATCTCTTAACAACCTTCCACAATGCTGTGTTTGCATTCCTTTCTCTACAAGTGATTCTTGTATATCACTTATAGATATTTGGTTTCCGGTTACCACGTGCTTCATATATACCAAACTATGTTTATACCAGTCTACTTTTAGTTGAGTTGCTTAACTTTGAACACATTCCAAAACACATAATTTTCCTACTTTTGCATTCTAACCTCTGTACTAGCTTTATATTTGGCTGATGCACTGCTATAACTAAGTGTTTGTATTTGCCAGTGAGATTTATTTTCTCTCCTATATTTCCTTATTCATATTTTTTATCTATTCTTTTCCAGTAAAAGCAATTCCTTTAACAGTTTTGTAATACTGCCTTCTTGATGATGGACTCCTTTAGCTTTTTCTTGTCAGTAAAACTCTTTCTTGTTCAATTCTAAATGAAAATATTTCTGGGTAGAGTAATCTTAATTTAAGTCTCTGCTTTTCACCACTTTGACTATTTTATGCTAATTGCCTCTAGTCTGCAAAGTTTGTGTTGATAAATTAGTTGACAATCTTATGGAGCTCCTTCACATGCAAATAACAGCTTTTCTCTGACTGCTTTAAAATTTTCTCTTTATCTCTTACCTTGGGCATTTTATTGTAATTATGCTATATCTTAGTGCAGGCCTATATGGGTTCCTCTTGTTTGGGACTACCTGCACTTCCTGGACTTGTATGTCTATTTCCTTCACCAGGTTAAGGAAGTTTTCAGTCATTATTTATTTGAATAGGTTTTCATACTTTGCTCTCTCTCTTTTCCTACTGATACTCCCATGATGCAAATATCAGTGTGCTTGATGCTTTCTCTGAGGTCACTGAAATTATCCTCATTTGTATAATTTTATATTTTTGGTGTTCATATGGGAGTTTTCTGCTATGTTGTGTTCCAGTTCAGTGATTTGATGCTCTGTTTAACCTAAACTGTTTTTTTTATTTCCTTTCATGTATTCTTCATTTCATTTACTGTATTCTTCATTTTCTGTTGTTTCTTTTTGTTATCTACCCCTATTTTTATGTTTTCTATCTCTTTGTGTCATTTCTCACTGAGTTTTTCTACTCCTTCCTTAAGTTCGTTAAGCATCCTTATAAACAGTGTTTTGAATGCTGCACTTGGTAGATTGCTTTTCTCCATTTCACTTAGACCTTTTTCTTTCTTTTGTGATATATTTCTTTGTCTCCTCATTTGTGCTGACTCTCTTTTTTTATTTCTATATATGAAGTCAATCCTCTACCATCTTCCAGTCTTGGCAGAGTGGCCTAATGTAGTTGGTGTCCTGTAGGATCCAATGGCACAGTCTTCCTGCTCACCTGAGTTGGCTGCTCCAGGGATATCTCTTGAGGGATGTGTGTGTGCCCTTCTTTTGTAGTTGAGCCTTGATTGCTGTTGGCACATCAGTGGGTGGAATGGACCCTTAGGCTGACTGACTATAAGGGCTACCTGTAACTGCAGGAAATGAGCTGTTGTATGAACACTGATCTCACAGTACAGAAGTCTTGTTAGCAGGGCTCTGGGGCCAGCCAAATCCACCCTTCAGATGTGTCTTTTTTGGAGCTATTTGGTGGTGCTCTGGTGTGATCTGAAGCCAGACACCAGGTGTGTTGCCTCTGACATCTCTTAGGAGAAGTCCCAATGCAGGCTGAGGTCAACTGCCATTTGTACCTGGTTTGGGGTCTTCTGGTGGAAGTTACAAAATGATCTGCAATTGGTTTACACTTATACTGAGTTTGGAGATTCTGTGAATAGGTCAGCTGCCACTAGTTCCAGGCTTGGAACACTTTGGTGGGCACTATAATGTGAACTGAGGCCTGCCATCAGTTTGCTGGGCTTATGGCTGCTTAGTTGAAGCTAACTTTTAAAGCATCAATGGCCACAGCTTATGCCAGTCTTGGTGGCACCTGATGGAAGTTACATGTAATTTGACATTGGTCTCTGCTTATGCCACACTTGGAGCTGGTTAGCCAGAGGTACAGGGCATGCCAAGTCCAGTTGCTGCTTTTTGGAGGTTTCTGGGCCTTTCAGAGATTTTACAAAGCTCTACAGTGTGAACTGAGAGGAGCTGCTTATGTGTAAAACCTGATGGAAGCAATCAGTCCAGGTACAAACTGGTTGTGGTAGTGTATCAGAAAATTACCAGCATGGTATAAACTGGGCTAGATTATTTGAAAGCTCAGATTGATTACACACATGTGCCTGCTGGCAGCGGAGGGGGGAAGGGCTCATCAAAGGAGCAATGGCACCCGCCCCCACTTCTCATCCCAGAAAGAGCCACCCTGACATCAGTTTCTCCACCCTAGCCCTAGAAGTAGCCAATTAAGTTCCTCCCTGTGTATTCATATAGCCTTTCAAGCTGCTGCCCAAACAAAGTTAGAGAAAGTAAGTTTGTGAGTGAGTCCTTACCCATTACCCAGGCCCCTTAGGGAGAACACGTGGCATCCCACAGCCCTCCTCGTTCACTCATAATCCCTTCAGGTTTTCACAGACATTGTGGGAATTCCTCTTCCAGGCACTTGTTCCTTTGGCTGGGAGACCAGTATGGGCTGGGACCCATCATTCTTCAGGGTGGGGGACTCAGCGGTTGAGATGCCCTTCCCTGTTCTTAGTGGTCACACTGTAGGTGTGGGACCTACCTGTTCCACATTTCTGTCCCTCCTACCAGTCTTGCTGTGGCTTTTTTTCTATCCTTAGTTGTAGTACTTCTATTCAGCTTGTCTACAGATGGTTCTCAAAGATGGTCATTCTATAATTTAGTTATAAATCTTATGTGGTCCTGGGAGGAGGTAAGCACAGTGTTTACATGCTTTGCCATCTTGACCACAAGTCAGGCTGCTTCTTCCAAGAGGATCATGGTTGGACCTTTTCTTCTAACAGCTTCTTTCCTTTGGGTTTCTCCACATTTCCCTGACAGGAAACCATAGAGATGAGGAAGGAAGATTTCTTGCTGCAAAATGAAGAGGAATCTGGCAAACATTGCCAGTTTCAGCTTAAGCAGCTTTCAGAGCCCTTAATGGAAAATATTTTAAGAGGAACATTCTCTGTGCCTGGAGGATACAATCTCTACTTAGAAGCAATGGACAACATTGAACAATCCTATAATCTGGTACCCAGGAAAGGAATTAAGGTGAGAAAAATAAAGAGGGGTGGACTGGTGTGGCTCAGTTGGTTGGAGCATTGTCCTGTAGCCCAAAAGATCATGGGTTCAATTCCCAGTCAAGGCACATGCCCAGGGTATGGGTGTGATCCAAAGAGGGACATGTACAAGAAGACAATGTATCGATGTTTCTCTCTTTCTCCCTTCCTCTCTCTCTAAAAGCAATGAAAAAAATGGAGAGTTCAAGCCAAGATGAAGGCATAGGAGTATACGCTTCACTTCTTATACAACCAAAAGAAAGAAACAACCAATTAAAAAAAAACAGAACTGCCAGAAAATTAAACTATATGGAAGTCTGACAAAGAAGAAGTTAAAGAAGAAACATTCATACATACTAGTAGGAGGGGCAGAGATAGGCAGCCAGGGCCCAAAGCATGTACAATAAGGTGGCAGCTAGTGGACCAGGCAGCCCCACATTCACATGCAGATAAGCCAAGAGGAACAACTTGGGAACAGGACAGACCACACGACCCGGGATTCAGCGCAGAGAAAATAAAGTCTCAGAACCTCTGGCTATGAAAATCTGTGGGGATTGTGGTGGTGGGAGAAACCACCAGTCTCTTGAAAGCAGGGTGAGAGACAAGCAAGCAGCATTGTTCCCTCTCTGACTCCTCCCCCAAATACAGCACCACAAACAGGCGAAGTGGGTGGTTCCACCCTGGAGAATACCTAAGGATCTGACTCTTACAATGTAACAGATGCACCAAGACAAACATATGTGGCCCAAATGAAAGAACAGATCAAAACTCCAGAAAAACAACTAAGCAACAAGGAGATAGCCAATCTATCAGATACAGAGTTCAAAATACTGGTAGTTATGATGCTTACAGAAATGATCTTATGTGGTCCTGGGAGGAGGTAAGCACAGTGTTTACATGCTTTGCCATCTTGACCACAAGTCAGGCTGCTTCTTCCAAGAGGATCATGGTTAGACCTTTTCTTAAATGATTGCTTAAATGATTTTTTATTTTGTGGCCACAAAATAAAAAAAATAAGTGAAACCTATACAAGATAAAATCAAGGAAAACATACAGGACACCAACAGTAAAGGGGCTCAAATCAACAATTTGGAACAAAGGGAAGAAATAAACATTCAATCAGAACAGAATAAAGAAACAAGAATTCAAAAAAAATTAGAGGCTTAGGAACCTCAGGGACAGCTTTAAACATTCCAACATCTGAATTGAATCACAGGGGTACAAGAAGGAGAAGAGTAAGAGCAAGAAATTAAAAACTTATTTGAAAAAACAATGAAAGAAAATTTCCCCAATCTTGCAAAGGAAATAAATGTACAAGTCCAGGAAGCTCAGAGAGCCCCAAGGAAGTTAGGCCCAAAAAGGATCACACCAAGACATACCATAAGTAAATTGCCAAAGATTAAAGATAAGGACTCTTAAAAGCAGCAAGAGAAGAGCGTTGCCTACAAAGGAGTTCTCATAAGACTGTCAGCTGAATTCTCAAAAGAGACCTTGCAGACAGGAAGGGGCTAGAAAGAAGTTTTCAAAGTCATGAAAAGCAAGGACCTACATCCAAGATTACTGTATCCAGCAAAGCTATCATTTAGAATGGAAGGGCAGATAAAGTGCTTCCCAGATAAGATAAACAAGTTCATCATCACCAAATGCTTATTATATGAAATGTTAAAGGGACTTGTCCAAGAAAAAGAAGATCAAAACTATGAATAGTAAAATGACAACAAACTCACAACTATCAACAACTGAACTTAAAAAAAAATGAACTGAGCAAACAACTAGAACAGGAACAGATCACAGAAATGGAGATCACATGGAGGAAGATTACTGGGGAGGGAAAAGGGGAGATGGGACAAAGGTACAGGGAATGATAAGCATAATTGGTAGGTATAAAATAGATAGGGGGAGGGTAAGAATAATGTAGGAAACAGAGAAGTCAAAGAAGTTATATGTACAACCCATGAACATGAACTGAGGGGTGGAATGCTGGAGGGAATGGGGATACAAGATGGAGGGAGATAAAGGGAAGAAAAATGAATGGGACAATTGTAATAACATAATCAATAAAATATACTGAAAAATAAAAACAATGAAAAAATGCCCTCACATGAGGATTAAAAAAAGAGGGGGAAAGAGTAGCAGATTAGGGTCAGAGTCTTTGTTGTTTCTTTTGAAAATCTAAGAACACACTGCATCATTTATGAAGTTAAAGCAGAGCATGGTGAGCCCTACATTTTTAGTTTTTATATCCACAATTAGACACTTTTAAATAAACCAGCAATATTTCTTCTCAAATATATGATTATCAGAAATCTAGATGAAAGAGAGTATTCTTTTATTTAACAAACAGTGTGATAGTTTTTTTTTGTTAAGTATAAGAGATAATTAAAGAAACAACATTCTTTTCTTTTTTAATTTTATTTTAATTGTTGTTGCAGTACAATTTTCTATCTTTTACTCCCATCCTAGTCCACCCACCCAGCCCTCCCCTCCTCCCTCCCAATTCCACCCGCCCCTAGTTTTTCATCCATGTGTCCTTTATACTTGTTCCTGTTAGAAACAACATTCTTAAAAAAGCTTATGATCTTACTGAAAAAAGACATAAATAGTCAATTGGATATGATGGGATATGATTATCATACAAGTATACACTGATAGTGATGATGAAGATGATAATAATGACAGTGATGGGTAACATAATTTGAGCACTCACTTTCTATTACAGGTATCATCTTAGGTTCTGTGTTTGGATTATCAATTTAAATTTTAGAATAATATGATTTAGATGCTACTGTCATCTCCATTATACAACTGAGAAATGTGATGCAATGAGAGGCTAACAGGTTACCTAAAAACACACAGCCAACAAGTGGTAGAGCTGGTAGGGCAGGTCTGTATACCAAGTATCCATTCAATCCTCAGAAGAATATTTAGCAAAACTTTCTGGAAGAAGAAGTAGAAGATACTAGTTGAGGTATCGGTAAATTATATCTGAGTAAAGGAAGGGTAGACAAGCATCCAGTCAGAAGATAAAGAAGGTGCAGATATTACACAGCATGGAGGAAGAATGTTTGTAGAACTGCACGTAAACCTGGTTGAATGCAACGTGGGTGGCTGGTAGCTGGCACCATTAGGACAGGGAAGAGGTTGCCAAAGAGGGTTTTATTTTAACTGAAGAGATTGGATTTTTTTTTATTGTGGCCATGGAAGGAAGGGAACTACTGTGGGGTTCCAAGAAGAACAAAAATTTTAGAGTCAAATAGGTTGTTTTATTGAACAAGAGTTTTTGATTTATTTGTTTTACAGGCAAATGAGGTCCTCCAGAGCTTCTTGCAGGCACAGGCTGCAACAAAGGAATCCATCCTGCAAGGAGACAAAGCCCTCGCCACTGGGGAGAGGGATCTAGCAGGTACAGGGGAGGGCTCTGATCAGAGAGGGGAGGGGAGGTTCTTGCATGGTCCTGTACCAGGTATGAGAGCAAAACGCTCCTGAAACAGGCACTTCCTATCTTTTCTGTCCAACAGTCCACTAAACTAAAAATAACTACGGGAATTCTAGTAGCTTATTCAGCCAATTAATGCCTTTCCATCACATTCTGAAACAGATTTCTCCTTACCATTTTAAAGTCATTTTAATCTCAGCTCAAGAGGGTACAGCCCAGTATAATGTATATTCTTTCCTCTGTAAAACCTTTGGGGAACAGCTGAGCATGCCAAAAACTGGGAAGCTGAGAAGGAACAAGAGCTGATAAGGCAAAAACAGAAGGAACAGGAGGAAAAATCAGAGGCTCAAGAGAAAAGCTTCCAGGAAAAATTAATCCAACTGAAAGAGAAGATGAAGAGGGAAAGCAAGAACCGACTGAAGGTGCTGGAAAGAACACTGGAGCACAAGCTGAAGGTCAGTCTGGTTGGGGCCTGGGCAAGCCTAAAGACAAGTAATCTAGTTCCTCATGAAGGGAAGAAAAATTTTAACTGAAGTAATAATAAGCCCTGAAGAAAATGCAAAGGCATATAGTTCAGTGAAATGTCAAATTAATCTGAATCATTCTAAAGCCCTAAATCTTTAGAACTCAGCACCTTCTGTAGTATTCGAGTTTACAGAGAACAAATAACATGCCCCAGGCTCTGGAACTGCTGTCTCAGGTGAAGATAGGGTTTAATTTAGTCCACAAATAAACGGGACCTCAATCCTGTAGTCCTAGGATGTTTGCTACAATCATCAAAGAGACTTATATAGATGCATCTGGTTGAAAACATCAGATTGTGCCTGACATGATATACAGGATGCTGAAAGCTCTACAATTTGCTGAATAGTTTCTAGATCTGCCTGATTTGCACTGTATTCCCAGAGCACAATGCATTCTTTGTCTCAGTGGGAGTTTGAGAGCCAGTATTCCCTAGAAAGTTGGCAGTTCCCATTACGTGATGCATGTGTGTGTGGTCATCCTATGTTAGTGGAACTGAAAATAATTATTAATTAATAATTTTAAAGCTCCATCCTTCCCAAACAGCATCCTTAGAACTGGAACACATTTTTGGCATAGTTGTCAGGGCTGATCCAGCCCAAGTCCTCCCCACACCCAATGAGACCATGCTGAGGGATCTTAGGAAGGTGGAAACCATGGATACTCCCACTACCAAGTCCAAATGTTTGGAAATTTTGGACAAACACATCAAAGAACATCTAAGTTAGTAGAGGTATAGAGCACGTACTTACCTGCTGCAGTTGTTAAATACAATGTGCCAATAAGTGGGACTTTCAAACGGGAACTCTCTCCTTTTTTGCAGATTCAAGAAGAACTACAAATTGAGGGATCTGAGAAGATAGGGAAAGAGATAAACCAATTAAAGCAAGAGATTCAAGAAACTGAAAACTTTTGGCCCTCCATATTTGTAGAGCTCTTTTGTATGGCAGCCGGAGTACTGCTGGGGCCCTCCATGTTCCAATGAAGAAAGAAGGCAGAAAATTTTTTTCAGATTAGTTGAGAATTTTTTTAGTAAATATGTTAGAAAAGGACATATGTTATAATAGCATAACGCTGTGGCTCATTTTTAAAGTATGTGTGTCATGCTAGTTTTATCCAAGAACAGTTTAAAAATAAAGAGTGACAGAAGATAATAATTTATTCATGCTAACAGTATAAGGAAAGCAAAAAGACAGATGGTTCCATGAGGGAAACACTGGCGATCTGTATCACAGTCACAGAGATGATTTCCCCATCTACACAGTCCCCAGGAATCTGGGGACAGAGAACAACCACCACATGTTTTAAATGGGTGTAAATATAAGAAGAGATGAAAACACTTAACTTTACTGATTATAAAAGGCATGCAAATTAAAACTAGGAGGTACCTGTGTCACCTGACAAATGGTCTAGAAAAAACAGTTTTGATAGGATGCTGGATTGGCAAGGGTTTCAGGAAACTGGCAGTCACTCCTATTTGCTAGTGAGAAATACAAATTGAGGAGAATACATATCAAAATTTCAAATGCAAACACCATTGTTCCAGCAAGTCCACATTTAGGAATAAACCTTAAAATTTATTTACTTAAGTTGAAAATGACATATGTAGTATGATATTTGTGGCAGGATTGCTGTAATTCTAAAAGACAGAAAACAACTTTAAATTTCTTCTCAGATATTAGTTAAGTAAATCTTGAGACAGACTTACAAAGGACTCTACAGTCACTAAAATGAAAACAGAAGCCCTATTTTTTACTAACATAAAGAAATCTACACAATTTATCACAAATGAAAAAGAGATACAGAATGTGTGTATAGATGTACCAACAAATTTAGAAAATAATATGTGCATTTATGATCATCTCTCTGGAAAAATATAAAAGAAAATAATATCCAAGAACACAAAAGAAATGAATGTGCATAAGTTGAGGTTAGATATGAGAGGATAGCTAACCTTACATTTTATATTTTACTGTGCCTTTTACATCTTGTATAAATTATTACCTATTTAAACATAAATAAATAAAACTAATAGATTAAAACTAAAAGAAAAATACATGGAAAGAGAACCTTCCCATGACAGTATCAAAGTAGAAATACCATAAGTCAGCTCAACAGAAAGGGCCTACTCATCACAGCAGGAAACAGAAATTGCAAGATGTGCCTCTTAACTTTGTTGTCCTTCAGGACTCTCAGTAAGGCCCTGAAATTCTAGTCCCGAATTTATGTTCAGATATAAAGTCTACTGGAGTGTCAACTGGAATGATCTCCAAATTCTTGCCCCACATTTATAAAGATAGTGAATTAGAAGAAAAAATTTTTCAGGGCCAGCTACACATTTTAATAATCCTTTTCAGCAGTGTAGGACTTAACACTCTTGTGGTTAGAATGAGTTGCTTATAATTCCACATGCTGTGCGTATTCTCTTGACTCTGGATGTTTGCACACAGGACACAGACCTCCTCAGACACCCTGGCTGCTCACCCTGTGTCCTTCACTTGCATTCTTCCGTCTCTCCGTACCCTCTGCTATTTCCTGATTTCCCAAGAGTGCAAAAGGTTTCTTCCTTGGGCTATCATTGTGCTGTGACATCCCTGCTACCACAGTACTTTTAGGTGATTGTGAAATTGAAATGACCCCTTTACAGTCATCTCCTTTACTGCCTCATGATCTCATCTACTTGGTGATGTTCATCATCGCCTCTTCGGCTCCCATCACAAAGCGCACCCTGTAAATACGGGGTGTGCCAAAAACATAGCGGCAAATATATGAGCTGCCATCTAACAGGGCCCCTGCTAGCATTTTCTTACTGTATTAACTGTTCTATTTAGGTCCCCAAAATAAAGAACACAGTTTTAGGAACTAGTGCATCAGGGACTTGCCAAGGCACAAAGGAAACATACACTTGTCTATACCTGCTGCCCTGTTCTGTCTCAGGGACGGGACACTCCAAGGGCTCTGGGTTCTCCAAGCTTCTCTCCCAAGACATTTACCCAGCAATGAGGTCACCACCTTTGCCTCACAGTGCAATTATAATATTTTAAAAAGTAAGAAAAGAGTATTTTTGCACTCTCATTTTACCCATAATCCTATGCATTCAAGGTGTTTCAGTTGAAAGAAAACTATGCTTTGCTATGAAGATCAAATTCTCAATGAACATTCCAACAGAGAAGTGGAATCAACAATACAGCTCTTTCTTCTTGAGGATTGTGAGATAATGCTCACATGCCTTTAATTTTGCTCATTCAAAGCCCTGCACCTGGTCCAGTCTCCAAACCCCCTGGGACCGCCAGAGGAGTGGCCTGAATACTGCACATCTGGATGGTGTGCATGGAGGCGAGGGGCAATGATGAGCTCTGCCTCTGTACCCAGTCTCTCCAACACACATGGCCAGCAATACAAATTAGAAAGAGTTAACCCAAGAATGCTGACATAAAATGATCCTAATGTAGAGAAAGGAGAGTTCAGGGGTGAGGTAAAGGACAATGAAGGCAGAGGAAAACACCTTCATGCACTTTAAAGTTCCATCAGAAACCATCATCTCTTGGAATAAGTTTACACCATTCTCAAGATTAGGCTTCAGAGAAAGGCCTCTGGCCTACTCAAAAATTAATAAGCAATTGTTAAATTACTGAAAGAATCAAAGGTCTATCAGAGACATTTCCAACAATCGTGGGAGAAGGCAGCTTCACAAGTATGCTTTCACATTCTGAGAAGTGAGCCGCTTGGACGTGTCTACATTCCTTTCCCCAAGTCCTCAGATGCTGCTGGTGCCATATAATCCTCACAGCACTTACTTATTATGGAAAGTCTTCAGTGTTACAGAGGGCATAAGGTACAGGAACTCATCAAAACACAAAGAAAACTACAGGAGGCTTTTTTTTTCCTACAACATAGGAAAAGGCATAACAAAGCAGGAGGGCTGACTAAACAGTGTTAGGTGGTTTCTTCTACACTCTGCAGTCTCAGGCTAAATACTGCCAGTGACCACTCATGGAATATAACAAAAAGTAAAAACAATGTCTGCAGGTGGGGGAAGTTCTTTTCTGTAAAATAAAGGCTCATTCCATGGTAGATATAGGAGCTTCCATGGCAGGTTCTCTGACCTTGAACTTACTATATTAGGGGTTAGGTCTTCCCTGGAGTGCAGAGAAGCAGGGCAGCAGGTGCAAGCCCTAGACCAGGCACAGCCGGCAGGAGCTACCGAGCCTGCATACCTATGACTTGTTTACACCAGAGTATTGGGAACTGATCAGTTCTCCCAACCCACCACACATTTTAAGCCCCACTGACTTCATCACCTACTGACTCTTGTGCCAATTAACAAATTCTTCCTTGTTAATTTAGAAAAGAATGCTTCCTGTACTAAATCACCAAATATAAGTAGGTTTTTCTAGGTTTGGCCAGTTCACAACCCTGTTAACTACCCCATGGTTGTATACTGGCATCAGCATGTAAACATACACAGCACCGTGTTCATCCTAAACTCTATAAAACTACTTCCCACATAAAACAATTTTATCCAGTTGCAAACTGATATTGCCTGAGCCGTGTCTCCTTATTTGCTCACCAGGATAAAACTTTTATTGGATCCTGCAACCTGCAACTTTATCAATTGCCCATGGTTCCCCTCCAGACCAAGCAGTCTAGGAAAACTCCTTATCTCAAGCCTCCTTTTCTATCTGATCCACTCTAACATAATAACTGATGTGTGCACTGTTGAACATTATAAATATATGACTGACCTTATGTAGCATTATGGATTACGAAATATTTGTCCAAGAAATGAATAAACAATAAATTACAATACATGATACATAGCAAAAAATGTTTCCTGATAAATGATTTTTGTTTTTTAGAAGAAAATTTACTTTATTGTTGTGTATTTGTTTTTCTATTTTTCAAAATAATTCACAATCATTAGAAAGGTTCACAATACACAGACAAGTAGAAAATAAAAATACATACAATAATGCCAGTGAATTAGAAATGCTATTGTTGACAAAAATGCTTTCATAAATAGAATAATGTTGTACCTATCATAGATTGAATTATTCTTAACAAGGATGTCAATTTATGTACTTTGTTTATCTTCAAAGAAGTTTGAAGCATTGGCAGGAAATTTATTTTTTCATATTTTTTGGTGAATTAAAAGTCTTAACAAAGTAATTCCTCTCCACAGAAAAAAAAGAAAGAAATCTCTTTAATTTTGAATAAGCAGTACCAAGTATATGCCTATAGATAGACTGAAAGTGAGTAGAAAGTCAGGATAAAATTTCACATTATTTACATATTAAAACTGAGGAGATCCTTTACACTGCACAAATTTTAGCAAGTATATAGTATGTTTTCTTAGGAAGAAGAATATCCTGTTTTACCGCAGCAGGACTGGACAGCACAATTTCCTGTTACAGCCTGAACTTTCTGTACCTTCCTTCACTGAATGCACCCTACACTTGCTGGGAAACCATCGTGGCCGTTGTTTGGTTAATTGTCTTCATCTGAAACAAATCAAAATTCTTCCATCTTCCTGAGAAGAAATGGGTCCACCAGGATAAAACCCAGATTAAGCTCCCAACATGTCAGGGAGCCTGGAGCTCTAGCTTTCTGGGTGTTCACATTTCAAAACGGATGGAGCCCAGAGACTTGGACACAACTCTGGGTTGTAAATCTGCCAATCCATTTTTTAGCCCTGTACAGTTTTATTGCCATTCAATATTGTAGAGATAGGACTGTTGCCCACATGTTCCAATGAAACAGTCTAACAAAATAGATAGGGAAATGGGCTTTTTCTGCTTATACATATAAAGAACTCACCTTTTTTACCTTTACGTTATATACGATTCAGCAAAAAATTCAATTGTCCCTGGAATCACTTTGATTCCCTCACTTAAACAATATATTTTACTGATCAGAAAAATAAGCAACTGATATCATAGCGTTAATCCTATTTCAAAGTAACCCTGCCCTGCTTCCACTTTCAATCTTACTTATATTAACCCTAAATAAGGTTTCAAATTTTG